CACCACACAGCCTGTGAGGAAGTAGCCTGTTTTCTTAGGGTCAGCTTTGACCTTCACCCTGACATTGGCTCACCATCTTTCATTATCAAACCCTATGTTTTTATTGACCGTTTGTATTCCAACTCCTTTTCAGGCATTTTAACAAATATATTAAGCTTTCAACATCTAACTTGATCCATTCTGGCTTCATTTCTACATTTGAAGCCCAGTTCATAGCGGCTGAATCCACAAAGATCACGTTCGGTTTCTACTCTGAAGATGAAAATGAGATGTTCTAGACTTTCTTTGTGGGTTTTCTGGAGTACCATCATAAGTGTTACGAAAATACAAGCCTGTCGCCCCTTAAGTGAGAGTTTTGAGGGCGGTCTGTCTGCCGGCAGCACTCCCTGAGCGGTAGTTTGGCAAGGACGCCTGACTCATTTGGAAGCTATGTGCTGAGCGTACAACCTTGCAGGAGAGTCTGGAATCCTACTTCAAGAAGAAACACCCGCCCTCCTCTTTTCTTTCACCATACACCAAAGTCTATCCGTCCCAGCCCTCTACCTTCCCACGCTAATGCTAATGCTATTTACACTCTTGGAAACCATGGAATTGTATAATATTGCGTGGGAAACAGGTTAGCTGGTATGCTAATAGTGTTTAGCTATAAAAATAGCTTAGTGATTAATGCAACAGCATCATTATGTTAATAGTCTCATGATGTGACCAATTTCTAAACAATTTTTGTTGATGCTCCAATTGCTATCTCATTCAGATGGTTCTGAACGAGTTTATCCAAGACCTGAAATATAACTCGCATTTGTTCTTGTCGTTCTCCCATATTTGGCCAGTAGTTTTAGGAAATTAATCCAAATCGTGTGGCAATATTGTCTTTATATGTTATTGCGCAATGATGCTAAAAACCCTTCACTATTTCTTGCAGGCAGAACCTTATACCAGAACAGCTGGCTTTATTACTTTTGTTCAGTTTACTATCTAACTGTCACGCATAGTCTACATCTCCATCTCTGTCCTAGCTTGCACTCGGAAAAATGTTGTATCGCAGCACTCATGTTTCATTACTACTTTACATGAATTGCTCACTGTAGCATTCCTCATTTGTAAGTCACTTTGGATAAGAGGATCTGCATACAGGTCCTGTAAGCAATATAACAATTATCTTAGTGTTGAGAAAATTGTCAAAAATACCAATAAAATGAAATGTAAAAAGGTGCCTGTTAAAACAGTTTAACGGAGGCTAGCTTGTAAGAGGCGTGTTGGTAAACCTCACTCCCCTGGCCTCAAGAGGCACACTAGGGACTGTGGCTGTGGTCTTTAGAGACCTTGTTAAAGCATCTGACTCATGCCAGAAACGCTGGTTTGAAGGTAACCTTTCCTCCTTATGACGTCATAACAAGGAGATTCAAGATCAGCGCCGCAAGATCTCATGCCGGAAACTCTGGTTTCGGGAGCGATGCGAGTAGAACTGGAGGGATTACAATTTCACAATATAATATTAAAGGGTTAGTTCAACCAAAAATGAAAATTCTGTCAGTATTTACGCACCCTCATGTTGTTCCAACCCCGTAAGACCTTCGTTCATCTTCGGAACACAAATTAAGATATTTAAGATATTAAAATCACTCCTGTATACTAGTCCATAGGCTTCTTGAGGGAATGACTTGCCGGCCTCGAAAAGTCATTAAAGGACATTGTTAAAATAGTCCAAGTGACTACAGTGGCTCAATCTTAAGTTTATCAAGCGACGAGAACACTTTTTGTGCGCAAAAACAACAAAAATAACGACTTTTTCAACTATTCGTTTATTTCTCCCTCTGCCTCGAGTCAGGTTACTAGTTTAATAGCGTAAGCTTCTGTTATTGAACGTCACATGCATCACACACATGACCAGCGTCGGCCAATAGTGATCCTACGCGTCTACACAATCACACTACGTTAACTGACTAGCGGCCCATAGAGAAGGAAGTGAACAGTTGAAATAAAGTCGTTATTTTTGTTTGTTTTGCGCACAAAAAGTATTCTCGTCGTTTGATAAAGTTGATAAAATTGAGCCACTAGTCACTTGGACTATTTTAACGATGTATTTGATGACTTTTCGATGCCAGCAAGTGTCATTCCCTCAAGAAGCCTATGGACTAGTATGCAGGAGTGATCTTAATATCTTAAATATCTTAATTTGTGTTGCGAAGATGAACGACGGTCTTACGGGGTTGGAACAACATGAGGGCGAGTAAACACTGACAGAATTTTCATTTTTGGGTGAACTAACCCTTTAAGAACGTTAAGATATAATGAGCTTTATTATTAAAAACATACCAAAACACACTAGAGGTACCTGGAATGAAGGCCTGGAAAGTCCTTCAGTACAGAGCCAAATGCTCAGTTTTTATTGACAGATAAGCTTAGATAATTCTCACCAATTTCACTTTCACTCAAGTAAAATGCTGATCTTTTGGCTTTGACTTACTGTGTCAGTACAGAAGAACAGAGGCAGAATATAAAACGACGACACGCCAACTCTTTTTTTCTGTCAGTACTAAATGACTGATGATGTAAAAGATCATAAAGAAGACCAGCATACAGGCAGCAGTAAAATACACACCCTTAGCTTGTGAGCGAAACCAAAAGTCTGTGTTTGTGTGAAGGGGAAAGTTAGAGGAAAAAGAGAAGCAGAGGGTGGTGGGCTGGATTGGATGTCAAATACAGGGCTGGGAAAAGGATATTAGGTCCCTGAAACACTTACCGAAATTCACAGTCAAAACTGGATTCTGGGACTTTTCTGTTGTTAATACAGCAATCTGAGAGGCTGAGATTTATTTGAAAATGACTGAATATTTCCACCTGTGCTGCAGTAAAACTTTCTGTACTTTCATTACCTCAAGGCCAAACGTCTCAAATGTATAGGACTTTGAACGATCTTTTATGTCCTTGTAGATTAAACCTAATTATCCATACATAATGTAGTAGTTATGGGTTTCTTAGCTGTGGCCTTACTCCCATACATTACATTAATTTATTGCAGAAAGCAGTACATTTGAAATTCTTTAATAAGGTATGTAATAATGACGGAATGTTCATTTTCGGAAAACTAATCTGTTGTACAAAATTTTTTGTTGGTCTTTATGTAAACTCTTAATGGTTTGAATGAATGATTCAATGACCCATTTACACTTCACTTGTTAAATTACTGAACGAATCAGATTTTTTTGAAAGAATCTCTTGACAGAAATAAAGCTGTTTCATACTTAAACATGATAATTGCTCGCTCTGGGTCAGCGGTTGCGCAAACAGAAATTTGAATCGCTGTGATCATACTTTCATGCTTACATAGTTATGTCAAAGGTTTAATATACAGTTGAATCGTTGTCATTTCACCCTGCAGGGGGTTTGATTGACATGCGATCTGACCAATCATACTCCACCATTTTGTCCAACAATTAATCATCACGCAGATCTACTATTTACTTAGCTTTTTGCTTATTTCAGTTTTAGTAATTTTAGTATTTCAACTTGGCAGGAAAACATTAAAAATGTCATATATTTTCAGCTTTATGTAAATGAACAAAAACTATTTAAAAAAATAGTCTTAGTTTACTATAACACTGCACAACATGACATTTTTTAGAGTGATTACATTTAAACGTTTGCTGAAAATGTTTTCAAAATCATATGCAACTCATATCTTACGCTACTAATATGGCACATCCATTTTAGACTAGCCTAGATTTGAATAAGAATTTTCCTAACCATTTGATGCCCTTATAGACAGACAATATTGCCCATCCATGTCTACAACATGGATCATTTCAAACGAGAGACACTCGCACCTGATTGTAAAGGTGTAAAGGTGAAGGATCATGCCTAGGGCACATTCTAGCCCTCGTGAAATCCAAAGCTGAAGGTTGGAGAACACAGGCACAACACAGACTTCAAAGGGCAGGTGCAGAAACTTCATCTCCTCCTTCATAGTAAGGTTTCCTCGTGTTTAAGAAAAACAGGCTCAAACACAATGTTTCCAAGTAGTACTCGTCATGATGGTTCACACTCACTTTAGCACTGATGCAAGTCGAATCTTTCAGTACATGTGACTGTGGTGGGATGTTTATAGTCATCGAGTTTGTCTCACAGTTGGTCTGCAAGCAAACCCCTAAATAAAGCCAAAAATTCAAGACGAGGAACATTTCTGTGGCACTACAGGCTGCCAAACACTGTGGGAAATACTGACAAGCTTGGATCACATTTCCATAAACAAACACTCAACTTCCTGAATGTGCAAAATCAAGGAAAAAGAAGCAAGGATGAATGTAACTCAGCCTTTAACACAGAGAACACACCCCCAATACATATTTAAATATGAAAATCTTCTAAAGATATAGGCCCCTCACATGGCATTGTCAACTAAAGCACCTGTTTTTGTTTCAGGAATAATATATTATACATGGATATCTGCAAAAGCCACAAAAAAAAACCCTTCCAGATCAGTTGTAAATATATATTGCATTATATTGTAAATTGTAAACTTGTGAGGAAAACAAACTTGATTAAAAAAAATGACCAATGTCTCACAACAAACGCATATTTTAAGTTTAAACGTCTAATAGGAACCAATGTTAATTAATCATTAAATTATCTAATAACCATTAGTATAAATTTATTTTTTAAAAAAATAGATCGGTCAATCAGATTATCGTGCGTCTCTCCGTTTTTACATACTTGCACATTTTACGTATTGTTGTATTTAAAAAAACTGAAAACAAGCTTTTTGGTTTCTTATAAAATACTTTTTTTTTCTAAAATAATTTTGTTGATTAAAAAACGTCAGTGTGTTCTTTGTCAAGAACCCAGTAACACATAGCTAGCCTAAGATATTGTTTAAAAAGACAAACCCAATAAAGAAATGAGTAACGTGGTGAAAGCCCTCAAACAACAACTTGTAGCCCAAGTTTTGTTCATGAACTTCAGAAAAGGACACTTAACGTTGAAACATTGAACTCGCTTACCTACAACTACACACAGCACGTCAACCAGGACGAAGAGTCGCTTTTTCCTCAAGTCCTCCATTATTTCTTTAGCTCGGATGCCCTTTAAAACTAGCACTTTAAAAGTCACTTCATTTATGAGATAATGTCAAAGATAATCCACTTGGAAGAATGAAAACAAACTGAACGCGACCAGTATTGCGAGTTCTTCCGGCTCTGTTGTTCTACCTGGGTTGCTCGTGCTTCAGCTCATAGGTGACGGTGAAACACTCGCGTCCTTTTCGACTTTATATATCAAGAACCTCAAAGGCTGAAGGCAGTGCCGCGTTGGTGCACATATTGCTTTTGTTAAAGAAAAGACTTGTGTCCAGCCCCCGAGCAGATTTTAGAGGACGCATCCACTCCTTTTCCAAAAATAAAGCCACTGTGTTCCCACTCGCGCTTGCTCTAGCTCACCGTGTCACTGTCCACACCTTGAGCTGACAGTAGGAGGCGCATGCGCAGTCGCGCTGCCTGGATAAATCTCTGCACTTTGAGCTGAAGCGCAAAGCAGCATGCATGACACACACATAGGCTATTTTTATTGCACATCATTCCATTATATTAAATTGGTCAATTAATTATACTATGTACACGTCACATTTATCGTTACATCTGTTGCTGGACATGTTGTGATTTACAAGTAGGCCTAGGCCTGCCTATCTATCTATCTATCTATCTATCTATCTATCTATCTATCTATCTATCTATCTATGGATGGATGGATGGATGGATGGATGGATGGATGGATGGATGGATGGATGGATGGATGGATGGATGGATGGATGGATGGATGGATGGATGGATGGATGGATGGATAGATAGATAGATAGATAGATAGATAGATAGATAGATAGATAGATAGATAGATAGATAGATAGATAGATAGATAGATAGATAGATAGATAGATAGATAGATAGATAGATAGATAGACAGATAGATAGATAGATATCAATATGATATATGACACAAAATAATATATTTTTTAAAGTTAAACCGATAGTTCACTTTGAAATTAATTTTTGATATGTTTTATCTTACCTCAAGGGCATCCAAGATGTTGGTGTCTTTGTTTCCACAGTATTTTCAATTTTGATATTTTTAGGTCAAATCGTTCTTGTCTGTCAGTCATATAATGGAGGTATATGGGGTCCACCTCAAAGAGCATGCACAGAGAAGTCCAAATTAAAATAAATAAATCATAAATCTGAAGGCACGGGCGCTTCGGTCTGCGCGAGCGCCGGAATGTGCCTGAAGTGATCTCTCGCGCGGTTGCGAAACATTTCAATGTTGTCTGTTATATATATATATATATATATATATATATATATATATATATATATATATATATATATATATATATATATATTCGATATATCGAAATCGTCTTCCATTGCAATTTCCTGTATCTTCACAGCGCGCAAGAGACTTCCGACGTCCTCATCCTCAGAATACTTGGACGTGACTGTGATTACAAGAGGTAAAAACGATATAAATACTGTTCATTTTCTCACACAAACCGCTCATTTCGTGTCTTAGGCCATCAATGTGTACTTACATTTACAGTCATTAAATCATGTTTAATTTGGACTTCTCTGTGCATGCTCTTTGAGGTGGACCCCATATACCTCCATTATATGACTGACTATAATGGTTTGACCTAAAAATATCAAAATTGAAAATACTGTGACAAAGACACCTACATCTTGGATGGCCTTGAGGTAAGCTGAAACATACCAAAAATTTATTTCAAACTGAACTATCCCTTTAAGGGAACACCTAACTTACGTCGTTAACATCGACACCCCAAAGGTTACCTAACAATTAGAACATTATGGAAATACATTATTTGGTTCACCTAGGGTATAGCAAACATTTTAATTGTTTAATTCCCGAATGCTTCAGATGGTGACGTTCAAATATAGCTGATGACTACGGAGTAATATATTGTACTGAGATGTGACGTCACTCACATCCGGATATAATGGCAGATTATTCTTTAGTAATACAGAGTTTTTAAGAGTCAAAAATGTAGGGTGTAAAGGTGTAACCGAAGTTTGCGCCTCAGTCTTTGTATGTGTTAGTTAGCCTAATCTGCCCTCTAGTGGACACTGACAGGCCATACAGTAAAACAACAGCAGCAGTTCGAGAAATATCTCGACAATACTAAATCGTATAGCAGCCAGACAGAGTATAGAATAGACATAGTTTGTTTTCTACTTTTTTATTATTATTTACAAAACATAACAACATGGACAATAAATCAATATAATAGGAGCAGTAATATAAATTGCTTTAAAAAAGTAAAATAAGTCAAGGCAGTGTTTGCCTCCCTTTCGTATCAGACAAAACTGAAAGCCAATTAGAAAACATGTATAGCTGAGCATATGGGGATCCGGATAATGATGCTTTTTAATCCTAAATAACAGAAGTCCAGTCACAAATGAGGTACTACACTAGATTTGACGGTGGCAGTTTGTCTGGAAAGTGAAGGATTCTGGGTAGTATCATATGGCGGACTGACAGGTTGTGGCTTCACGCAAAGACAACTGGCTGCAAAACCTGAGAAACTTAATAGAGTGAATCCGCCACTTACATCAGGATTTGTTGGCGAAGCACATGGAGCGTATTTCATAACCCATTAAAAAACCCCTCTTCAACACTTAGTACTGAAGTACCGACGGACCAGACCGAGAGGGAAACGATCGAAGCCCCTGAGGAACTCGTGTTTTTTTTTAATTATTATTATTGCACAAAGAGAACCTACAACGGGAAAGCCAACAAATGAACGGACGAAGCAACTGCATTAGTAGTTCATTTTTGATGATATCTTCTTTACAAGTAAAACATTTTATGCTTTAGCAAAAAGAAATAGATTTTTAAAAAGTTCTGAGAGGTTATAAGAACTACATGCAATGAAAGAAAATATACAAAATGAGACCATCAAATATTTCAAAGGGACTGTAAATTCTCACATATTTCCAAAGAAGCTTACAATTAGGTAGTTAAAAAACACTTTCATTGCATGTAGTAGTCTGACAGAGACAACCAGCTCCCTAAAACACCAGGTTACTAGTTTAGTAGTTGAAGACAGCATGGTTTAAATGAGGAATTCTTGCACACAGTCCATGATTAAAGGGATCATTCAGGCAAAAATGAAAATTTTCTCAAAGTTTATTCACCCTAATGTTGATTTCAGACCTGTAAACATAAAATAAAGAAAGTGAGGAAAAGGGGATCTGAACATTATATAAAAGTAGTGCACTTTTAGTAGCTATTGGATTACTACCTTTATGTTTTGTGTATATCAATCTTATAGGTTTTGGACCCCATTTACTTTCACTGTATGGACAAAATCTGTGACGATGACAGAATTTTCATTTTTGGTTGAATTATCCCTTTATGTCCGGCTTTTCTGGAGTAACCTGAAGAGCAACAACTGCAAATTCCAGGTGAATGACAGTCGTCACGTTTGCTTAGATCTGGAATGTTTCCCTTCGCTGAACGGGTGAGTTGCTGTGTTGGATGGGTGCGGAGCAGATGGAGGAAGGCGGGCACAAGAGGCTACCGAGTGCCCCAAAATCTGGGACGGGTGGGACAGGCGAGGAAGGGTCAATTTGAAGCCTCCCTGAGGCAATGTACTCTGAGCAGGCAGGTATAGGATCTTCAGGAAAAGACCCCAGTTGTAGCTGGTAAAGACCTGCTCCCAGGAGCCCTGAGTCTGGCTGGGATGAAGGGACGGAGTGGCTAAGGGGGAGCGAGGAGAAGAAAAGCTGGGTGGACGGGGAGGCTATGTTTGGCGTCTGGAGCGCTTGTGGGAGAGGCGAAGATTGTCTGAACAACTGCTCCACCTGCGGGCTAGAACAAGTACCTGCACATTGTTCCAGGTCCCCAATGTTTCGCTCAGAACCTGGAAGAATAAGAAAATTTTAAGGAAAAAGTGGTCGAGCATTTTGGGGGAAAACAGAAAAATGAGTAGATGAGTCTAAAACGCATGCACAAAGACAGCGTTTCCAAAGGAGTTCCGCTCTGTTTCTTCTTGTAGTGATTGGATCATTCCTGTTATGCAGTACCACATTTAATAAATATGCTGTGGTCACGTTCAGAAACTCATTATAGCTTCATTATTTTCACAATGGTATGAAAGTATAACAGGGTGGAAATATTAAAGAAATGAACAGGATGGAACTGAATAGGGCCTTTATGGCAATCTTTTGAAATTCTGATATCATACCAGTGTTATTGTTAAAGTTATTTCCATTCATTGCAATAAAGCTGAAATAAAATCAGTTATAAACATTAGATTAAAAACTAAATTTAGAGAAAAATAGAATGATGACTAACTGAAAGAAGTTTGTTAAAGTACTAAAGTTACTGAAACTAAAACTAAAAAATAAAAAGGTGAAGCACATAAAAACACTACAACCTAAACTAAATTGAAAATATAAAACATAAATGCTAGATCAGAATATTAATAAATTCTATAACACTGATGTAAACAAACAGATAAAGTTGTGAAATTTTGATATAGGTAGATTTCTATATTTTTATCTAACAGTGTGGAATGTTTTAAAGTGAGTAACAGGACGGAAAGTCCTAATATTGAGGACAAAAAAAACCTTAAAAAATAGTGCCGTCAAATCGATTAATCGCTATTAATTGAATCTAATTTAATTCTAAATATGTGTGTATGAGTGTAAAGTATATAATAATAATTGATATTATATGTATATATATATATGTATAAATGTGTGTATGTGTGTATATACACACACACACACACACACATATATCTATAAATATAAGAATACATATAGACACACATTGTAAAACAAAAACATTTATGTTAGAGGCAATTAATCAATTTGACAGCACTAAAAATAATAAAAAATTAAAACAATAAGAAAATAAACAATTATTTTGACCGTTTTGACTTTTATATCTTCAATAACTTTGTTGAAAAAATAAATAAAATCCTGCTGGTACCTGACGTTTCCTAAAAGTGTCTGCATTTTCATTTAAAATGTTTTTAATATAAATTACACATAAGGCAAAAAACAAATAAACATAATTACCGAATTCGGCCATAGACGGTCATATTGACCGCACTGAATTTCGCTGTATTCTTTTGTTACATTTCACACAGTTGACCTTTGTCTGTTAGGAAATAATCCGAAGATTCAATTGCAAAATGACAGATTTATTGAGAGCTGGTCAGATGCTGGGAGAGTTAAGGTGCGCAAATGTCCGATATGAAGCACTTGGCAGCACAGGGACGCTGCGTTTGTTATTATTTTGTTCTCAGTTATGTTGAATGGATATGGAATATATAGCCTATTTGTTGTGAATATGTGATAATTGCGGGCTAGCAATGATATTATTATTTATAAATGTATACTTAAACTTGTTTAAATGTATAGTTTAGTGTTGTTTTGTTTTTAAAAGATATCCTAATACAATAAATGCATTAATATCTCAATTGGGTATTTATTATTAAAGATATAGAGCTTGCAATCTAACAGTCAAAATGACTGCTTGTGGCAGTTCTAGTAGTTATGGAATTCTGGCACTTCTAGTGTTAATAAGTCCATCTTTATGTTAGTACGGCAGCCGAGAACATAGCCAACATGATTACTATTTGTAAAAGATGATTTCCCTTTATATATATATATATATATATATATATATATAAAAATATATATATATACCTGTATATATATATGTGTAATAAAAAAGTGAGTTTAATATTTGATTTACTATATGAAGACATATATGATGGACATGAAAATGTACTACATAACAGGAATGATCCATTTGCCGAGACTTCTCCACTTCAGTTTTTACCTGTGTATCTGTCAGTTTTAGGCTGTCCGTGAACAGCAAGCTCAGGGCTTTAATAGGAAGCGCGGTGTGCGTTTCCGTCGTGGACGACCCTGAAACTGAGCTGCGCAATTCAGGCTCTCCTCTGGATTGTACGGCCAAATGAAACGTGATGGAACATAAAAGAACACAAACACAATAGGAAAAATGCTGGCAAATGGAAAACAACAACGAAACAAATCATACACCGAAACCAAGAAAAACACATTTATGCTGGACATATGAACACAAATGAACATAAAACATAAAAAATTAAGAAACTTGGCCGCAATGGAAGATTTACATTTACATTTAGCTGACGCTTTTATCCAAAGCGACTTACAATTGCTATATATGTCAGAGGTCGCACGCCTCTGGAGCAACTACGGGTTAAGTGTCTTGCTCAGGGACACACAGTGGATTCGAACCCAGGTCTCTCACACCAAAGGTATGTGTCTTATCCACTGTGCCATCACCACCATATGCATGTGGAAAAGTAAGTATTATATCCAAGAACTAGTAAAGCGTACCTTGTTTATCCAGCTCCATGACTGCAGGTGGCGATGGAGGCTGGAGTTGAATGGAAGACCTACTTGGCAAACCTTGATTGGCACCTTCCACATCGCCAGTCTCTCCATCCGGCTCAGCATCCTCTCTAAGAGACACATAAACCATTTAAATATCATCAGATCATTATTCTAAAAATGTGACAACTTCAAGCAAAACACACTCACGTGTTCCCAGATGGTAGATTGCACCTTTTCCGACCCAGCTTGGTGGCTTGCTGTGTGAAATACTCATGCCGCTCTGATTTCTTCCATATGTAGTAGTACTCCACACACTCACCCACCGAACGCGTGCGGACCTGAGTGAGGGTAAATAAGAGAGCCCGACACATGAAGGCACTCTTGTTTCTCTAAAAGTAGAAACATCAGCAGCAATTCCTACTGGGAAACGATGTATGTTATGAGAGAAATTTGGTACTCACCTTGTTGCCCTGTATGAGGTGGAAGTTCTTCCCATAGGCACGGTAGCCTTGCTCAAAGTTACGACACTCCTCCGCACTCCAGGCACAAAGCTCTTCTGGGAACATTTTTTTTAAATATTTGAGATTAACCAGGATGCTTTGATTATCACTTCCTGCTAAAGAAGGTTTGAGAAAGAAATGTATAAAATAGACAAAACAGAGGTCTTACCATTGAAAACCTTGACATTAAAGCGATATCTTCTTAGTGCCTCTTCTGGATTAAAGTTGCATTTTACTAGCTCATAAAGAGCCTACAAAAGAGATGGAATGAAAGAATAAGTGCAACCACTGAAAGATCAAAACATGACCCACTAAAGACAATAAAAACATACAACGAGTTTTTTTTTTTTTAATGTGGCATGTTGCCGTTTTGCTTTAATGACAGTAGCACCAGAGTTGTATGAACTCTACAAAACCCGATGATCATGTTTTCCAGCATGTATTGTAAAATCGAAAAAAAAAAAATAATAATAATAATGTTAAAGCTACACTGTGTGATTTTTACCCCCATCTAGCGGTGAAAAGGTATACGACCATCCAGTGAATATTAGTTTCTGTTCCTCTCAATTCCGATTTCGTTTTAACTCCTACGGTGGCCGATGTAGTCCAAGATTAACATGACTTCGTCCATGAGTGTTAACTCAAACGTAAACGCGAAAGGCGAAACTTGAATTAACGGGTATGTCCCTCTTTGGCTAATGTACATTCAAGATGGAGGGGCAACATGGCGCGTATGTATTTTCAATGGCATATTATGCACTCACAAGAATACTTTATTACTTGAACGAAGTAAATATACATTAATGAGCACATATATTTTTGAAAGAACTAAGTGTTTTTAGCTAATAATAAACTAAAAGAGTTGCACAGTGTAGCTTTAAATATTACTTTTATTATTTATTTAATTTGAATATCACCACATAGTTTAAGAAAGTAAGAAACTGGGTACTGGGTAAGAAAACTTGATTAATTTTGCACAGAGTGGTCTACTGATACTGACACTTAACTATGGAGTCCCACTGGGCTCAATTCTTGGACCGTTATAATTTCATTCTATATATTTAAATTAAATTGTGTATACTGTACATATATCTGGACAATGAAACCACAATTAACTTTTAGTATGGTGTAGGGCCTCCTTTTGGAGTCGATACAGCAACAGCATCTGTTGGTCCTGGGAATGACAGGTAGAAGTCCTTAACAGTGGCCAAAGGGATTTTGAGCCATTCCTCTTCCAGAACAGTGGCCAGGTTTCGTTTCCTGACTCGCTCTTCTATTATCGCTCAATAATATTTAGATCTGGTGACTGTACAGGTCATGGGAGAGGTTCAACTTCACTTTCAGGTTCATCAAACCATACTGTAACAAGTCTTTTGCTGTCATACAGTAATTATCATGCTGATACATGGCACCTCCTTTAGGAGTACAATGTTTGAACCATTAGGTCCACATGGTCCTCAAGAGTGTTTTGGAAGTACTTGGCAGTGATGCGCCGATTGAGCACAGTAGGGATGCCATGATATTGCAGATCCATGCTTCACCCTGGGCAACAACAGTCCGGGTGTTAAGCCTCTTTGGGGCTTCTCAACGCAACTCCCATGCCGCAAGAGGAAAAGACAGTGAAGATGGACTCATACATGTTTCACATTGTCCACAGTCCACAGATTTGCACCGTTGGAACCAATGAAACCGACATTTGGCATTGGCACGAGTGCCCAAAGTTTTGGCTATAGCAGCCCGACCATGAATATTGACAATGTGGAGCTCTCTTTGAACAGTTTTGGTGGAAACAGAATAGTCTAGATGCTGATTTTATTCTGCATTGAGTTGGGCAGCTGTGGTTTTATGTTTTTTGTATACAATCAGACATCCCTTTCAGACAGCTTCCTCTTGTGTCTACAGTTACTTCTGTTGGATGTGGTTCATCCAATATGGTGGTTTGCTGACATTATCCTGGATAGCATAGTTCTCTATACACCACAAAGACTTGCTATTCTAGTCAGAGATGAGCCAGTGAGACGTGCACCAACAATTTATCCACTTTTGAACTCTGATATGTCTCCCATTATGTTTTGTGGATTTGTGCAACTGTGTTATTGCTCTGCTAATTCAATCTGATGGAACGTAAAATCAGGAAAGATTGGTCACCAGGCCACGCATTTATAGGCATGAAACCTCCAACACTATATTGGCCAGTTTCATTGTCCAACCTCTGTATACGAGTGTGTGCGTGATTTAATTACAAGATGTAATTATCAAACACATCATACTAATTATTTGTCATAAAAATAATTAGGTAAAATTCAATAAATCAATCTAGCAAACAGTGTTGTTATTGTTATCTAAAGCTTAAAATATTAAAAACTAGTTTTATAAAATATAAACTAAATTAAATGGAAAATAAATGAAATATATCTTCTACAATCTGAAATTACTAACATTACTGAAACACATTAAGAAATATTAAAAATAATAATAAATGCTATAATAGTATATAAATAATACTGATATAACATTGCTAGCATGCTTTACCCGCCACTTCCAAATTGCATTAAAAATAAAGAGTTATATCTGAGTGATTCAACCCAACCTGCTCATTGTCTTTGACTATATCTCCTGTGGTCTGACTGTTTGAAGGTCCATTGTCACTCCCTTTCCTCTGGACTTCAAGCAAAAACTTCTCTACCGCCAGATTGGACAACACATCTGGAGTCCACAACAACTGGTCTTCATTTTCATAGGCTGGGGATAACAGTAACAAAACAGGTGTGGGTCCTAGGGGACTCGACAGGTCGGTTATGCAAAATAGACCACTGAAACCACAACCCTGGAGCCGGTGTAAAGGACACCAGTCAAGAGAAGACACTCACCTCTTTCATAAAATGTGTGTGTACAGAGAGAAGGAATTATGGCCTGATACTGGGGGCCCACCATGATGTCCTGATAACCAAAACATGGCATAAAAGCATTACTACAATGTTTTGTCCCACTAAGCTGAAATCATTAGAAAATATTATAAATCCTATTTTATAGATACAACTGTTGTGGTGGGTAATTTTTTTTTTTTTTTAATAAAGGCTCTTATTCTAAAAAAAAAAGGAATATTGTAAAATATGAATACAAAATTAAATAATTAATATAAAATTACAGTTTTCTATTTGAAAATATATTTGAGAATATATTTTATATTCTATTTGAGAATATATTTTAAAATGTAAATTACTCATGTGATTCGAAGCTGATATAATCCTTTCGAAATCATTCTAATAGGCTTATTTGGTACTTTACAAAAGTACTTCAGTTTGATAAAATTATTATCAAAGAGTATTCATTTCTTTAAAAAACAAAAGAAAAAAAAAACAACAACAATATAATGTTCATGTTTTCCAATGTGAAATTTGTAAGTATTGTGTCAGAAAACTTTATTCATTTGGCACAGAATGGCCTACTGATACTTTTACCTATGGTGTCCCACTAGGCTCTATTCTTGGACCATTAACATTTCATTAAATATAATTGTTAACCAAAGCTAAAACTATCAAAATATTTTTTGGTCACTAAAATAAAGCTAAAATTAAATTAAATATAAACATAGTAAACTATTAAATTAATATTTTTTTTTTACCTTTCGGCCATCACTGGAGGGGATAGAGGTGCTTTCTGAGTCGTCTTCGGAGCTGCTGACTGAAGTGTCTTTGTCATCACCTGGCAGGATTAAGAACAGGTTCACAGTAAGCTCAAACATTTTTGACAAAAGATAAACATGTATGTGTGAATAAGTATTGTATGTAATGTGCAACCTCTTAGGTGGTGTAAGAGGTCAGATGCATGAGACGTGATGGAGAGTGTGAAGTCACCGGCAGAGGAATGGTCGTCCACGTTCTCTCCTCCTGAGAGCAGATCTTTCCCTGTCTGAACCTACAAAATTTCAGACTTTGTTCACAATTATAACCAATAATTTGTTACTTTCAAATTTTCTTAGAGCATTTCAATAATCCACTAAAGAGGACACACCGAAATTAAGAACATTATGCACAGAGTAAACCAGTGATAGTGACCTTGTCCAGTGTTATTTCAGGCAGACTGGCTGCAAGCTCATTCGGCTCCTGTTGTTGTTCCAAGACAGGATCAGGCATGTTGTACCCATAAAGTGCCAGCAGTTGCTCAAGTGGCATCTCACCACCCTGAGGAAAGGTAAATGAAACAATCTTTTTTTGTAATAAGAAGCAAATTTATCAATGCATAGCAAGAATTTGTTAAACTCACTGAATGGGTCTTGGTTGCCATCTTTACCGCCTGCCTCCGCAGGGCCGCCAGGGTCCAGTCCTGTTCCTCTAGGAACGTGGATGCCCGGGAAGGGCCCTCCAGTGGCCCTGCATAGCCCTGGTGGAAAATGTCTACACGACTGTGCCGTTGTTCCGTGGAGCCCATTCGCACAGCTAAAGCACAATGAAAGCAGAGAACTCTCAAAATACATTTTTTCACACCAATAATTCAATTATAAGTCAATTACGTTGCTAAATGTTGGTTAAATTTAAAAGTAATCGTTTTGAGAATAGGTGTTTGCATTATTTGTAGGAGGATGCCACTTTGATTCTCAAGCATTGACATTCAGGCATTTTTAAAAGTTACTTATGTTTCCAAAAAACTTTTGAAGCCACTGTACAAAGATAATGTGGAAAAATTAGACAGGCCAGCCAGTGTCAAAAATAATTGTGGGCTTAACTTAAAACAAAGTAACCAACCTGGTTGCCTTCAAACTTTGAGTTCATTGAATTTAAGAATTTGAGTTAATACAGAGATTGTTTTAATCAACGGAAACTCAAAATAGTATGTTACCTGAACCACATTAATTATCTAATTTGATTTGACAACAAAAAAAAATTTAAAAATCAGACATCCTTACAAAATTTTACCACAAAAAACATAATTTTCACCAAAATGACATTGTTTAAATCATTGTTTAATGTAGGAGGTGATAATTCATAATTATGAGCATAAGCAGCAGGCGTTGCACCAACCCAGCAACAATTCCTCCTCCATTTCCAAGTTTGTTTACCATTAACTTTTAAACCGATAGTTCACTTTGAAATTAATTTTTGATATGTTTTATCTTACCTCAAGGGCATCCAAGATTTAGGTGTCTTTGTTTCCACAGTATTTTCAATTTTTATATTTTTAGGTCAAACCGTTCGTGTCTATCAGTCATATAATGGAGATATATGGGGTCCACCTCAAAGAGCATGCACAGAGAAGTAAAATAAAATAAATAAATCATAAATCTGAAGGAACGGGCGCTTCGGTCTGCAGAAGCGACAGAAGCGACAGAAGCGATCTCTCGCGCGGTTGCGGAAAAAAAATTCAACGTTGTCTGTTGATATATCGAAATCGTCTTCCATTGCAATTTCCTGTATATCTAAATATGTTTAGATCTTCACAATGAACGGCAACGCTTCTGAAATCTCTGTGTAAACAATGAGTGATGTACACGCGCGTGAGATCACTTCGCCCTCAGAGTACTTGGACATGACTGTGATTATAAGAGGTAAAAACGATATAAATACTGTTCGTTTTCTCACACAAACCGCTCATTTCGTGTCTTAGGCCATCAATGTGTACTTACATTTACAAGTCATTAAATCATGTTTAATTTGGACTTCTCTGTGCATGCTCTTTGAGGTGGACCCCATATACCAATACTGTGGAAACAAAGACACCTACATCTTGGATGCACTTGAGGTAAGCTAAAACATATCAAAAATTAATTTCAAAGTGAACTATCCCTTTAAGACTGAAGTGAAGGGGCAGGAGAACTCAAAAATTACTCTTCAAAGACTTTTAGACTATTATATGTCAAGAAATATTTAATCAAGAGGAATATTCTATTACTAATTGTACTAGATTTTTTACTAGGACATAAGCCCTTACAAAAATGTACCATGGTAAACAGTTTACACCAAAATAGCAGATATTGTTTCTGTGGTAGAAATGTGAAAATAAATTTATCAACATTGCAATAGTACCACTTAAAATAAAGGTTCCAAAAAGTGGATTGTCACAGTGATGCCATAGTGTGAAGAACACTTTAATAATCCAAAGAACCTTTTTCCACTCTGTGCCAATGAAGAACCTTTGTTTTTAATAGTAACATCTACTCTCTTTCACTCATATAACAAGCCTCCCTTAGAACAATGACTTTATACCTCAAAGTTTAACTTAATTCTTAATGCTTACCTCATAGACACTTCTAGACTTAGTCTAAAACTCAAAGTAAAGATTTTAAAAGCACCTCAAAGCATGTTTAAAGTGGGTTTTTTTTCCTCATTTTTTCATAACGGTTAAACGCATCTGTATGTGACCTCTTTGAGCTTTGCTGAAGTTAGCAGCGGTTAGTCACTCAGGCGCTTTCCTGTAAGTCAGTGCTGAACATTTGCACCGTGACTCCGAACCGGTGCGAGAAGGAAACAGTTTTAGGGAAGTCAATGAGGCAGTGACAGTATATCTAAAGTTTTGAAAGTTTAGACCTGGCATCCGTCCTGCTCCGCGCGCACCTGGGACACACTTCAGCACCAGCGCTCGCGCTGCTCTCCCGTTGTTTCGTACGGCGCTCGATCTGGCGAATTAAACGCTCGTGAACGCGTACCGACAGAGAGATAGATAGAGTGGCGAAACGCTGAGGAGTGCTCCCATTTTAACTTCCTCCTTATTAGTGACCGTCTATCTTTGCCGTTTTCTGGGTCGGTCGGTCAGACGGCCGGGGTCTTAAGCTGTCTGTTATTGCGCGGCTGGCGGTTAAAGTGTATCGGAGCGGTTGAAATGTTTAATCCTTGTGTTGTTCTTCCCCCAAGCCCCGCAGCTCACTTACCTCCGCCATTCCGATTCTGCGCAAGCGGTGGAATGCCCGGATGTTGTGTAGAACTCCTATTGAACTTACATTCTGACTAACAGCACTGATGATAGTTACCGAACCATGTCAAACTAATAATAGAGGTTCTCTTATGCGGTGTATAGATTTGTGTTGAATAGAAATGGAACCCATTTGTGAGCAAAATATACTTTAGAGTTCGAAGGGTCTGATTATGTCTTTTCAAAGTTATCAAATATGATTTAAATTGCATCTGTCTTGACTTCACGTGAGCCTTTTTACATGGCTAATACAGTCACATAACCAGATGTTTAATTACTGTTTGTGCCATGATCGGAGGTTCGTGAAAAAAGGTTACAAAACTACAGGCTACATCTGATATTTAAAGTGTTTATTGTTAATATTTTTCTGTTTTGTCGTATATTAATTATGATCACAATCCATACAAACATACAATACAGTGTTAGGCTAGCCTACCGTTTAAAATTTGGGGGTCTGTGTAAGATGTTTGAAAAAGTCTGCATATTAATCAACAATAGCTTACAGTAAATAGGCCTACAGTAATATTGTGACATTTCATTTGGCTGTAATTTAAAATAACTAGTTCAGCATCATTACTTCAGTCTTCATTCAGTGTCACATGATCCTTCAGAAATCATTCTAATATGCAGATTAGGTACTATAGAAATATTTCTTATTATGTTGAAACAGTAGGACTGCTTAACATTTTTATGGAACATTTGACTACATTTGTGCTACATTTGTCCTTGATTTTAAGTATAGCTCCAGTTTGAATAAGTAGGCTAACTGATTGATTTACATTGTAAAAAAAAGTCTCTATAGATTTCAAAATATTATGATTAAATACAGTATATGAATATATTTAAAGTGTATATCAGAAATATCAGAATGTAAATGTAAAATTAATATTAAATCATGTTACATTGTTGTTTGCAACTTTCTTTTAGGTCTTAACTTTCCTTTTTTTTCAGTAGTTTTCCACCATTTGCATTTCCAAACACTATTGTTTTTAACTTATTTAATCATTTTTAAAAAATGGGATTAAATAAGTTGCATATGATTTGGGTTGGTTTTTATTTGCTGTTATTAAACAACTTTCCACTTAAAAATAAAATGTTTTATCCTAAATTAACTATAATGCACGGGAGCGGGACCAAATAAGTAATTGGCATTGAAAAACCTACCGACTCAATGTCTATGATGGCTATACAGTCTTGGTAATGCATGTGGTAAAGAGTCCATATGATATTTATGAAAAATTACAAATTGGACTTTTAAATCCTAATGCATGCAGTTTTGGATGACGTGGATTTATTTAATCCAAAGGCAAATCCAAAGACCGCTCTATCTTAATTTGCATGGTTTGTGGTCTGCTTTCTCCATGCATTCTGTCACTGGATGGGGTTTACGTTCCTTGCCACTGTCGCCATGGCTTGCTTAGTTGGGGACACTCAATATTCAACAAAATTATTAATTTAGTACTGTCGCTGTTGAATGAGATCTGAACTGAGCTGGACGATGACATCACTGTTTTCTACAGAACTGCTTTATAGATGAAATAAACTAATTTAATAATTGATGATGTTTGCAATGGAACTGAATCCACATCTGAACAATGACATTATTTTCTTTTAGAGCTGCTGTACAGCCGAAATGAATGTTCGCATCATTAAATCATTTTCCAATTGTCAGTGTAAAGCTGCTTTGAAACAATATAAAGCGCTACTGTATATAAATAAAGGTGACTTACCGTGTATTTAAAGGAGTAGTTCACTTTAAAAAAAACTTTTGCTGATAATTTACTCACCCCCATGTCATCCAAGATGTCCACGTCTTTCTTTCTTCAGTCGAAAAGAAATTAAGTTCCAGTATTTTCTCCATAATAATTCTCAATATTTTCATTTGGTTCAAGGTCCAAATGAGAGTTTCAGTGCAGCTTCAAAGGCCTTTAAACGATTCCAGACGATGAATAAGGGTCTTATCAAGTGAAACGATCGGTCATTTCAAAAATAAATAAAAATATTTAAGTTTTATAAGCACAAATGCTCGCCTTGCTCTGTTTTGTAATGCCGTGACTCTCCTGTTCAAACTCGTTCATCGAAATGAACAAATCTTTTTTCGAGTCATGACTCGAAGGGTCCAAGATAAGACCCTTGGTGTCGTTTAAAGCCCTTTGAAGCTGCACTGAAACTCTCATTTGGACTTTGAACCGTTTGGTTCCCATTGAAGTCCATTATATGGAGAAAATCCTGGAATGTTTTCATCAAAAACCTTAATTTCTTTTCGGCTGAAGAAAGAAAGACATGGACATCTTGGATGACATGGGGTGAGTAAATTATCAGCAAAAGTTTTTTTTAAAAGTGAACTACTTCTTTAAGGCCTGAATTGTACACTTGCACATGCTCACAGACTGTGTTGTTTTGACATTGGATGGCATGTAGACTCCATGTGATCTGTGCTACTAATCAGACTTGGAGACTCACTGGAGAGGATGAAGGGGGAGTGGCGAGTGTGTTGCTTGCAGATAAACTACATGTATAACAGCGTGTGTGTATCAGCAGGTCTTCCTTTTGACTTGATGTTCTAAACTATGCTTCCTTGGCCAAAACCCAATAGTGACTAACAGAAACCATATTGGTTTCAGATCAGAAATCAACAGTAAAGTCTGCAGACACCTGTGCAGTTTCTCAGAGGATGTGGTCTGACTGAAAAGAGCTGACGGGTTCTTTGCTGTGGAACAATTCAACATTCATAAAAAATGTTTTAAATACGCTAATTGAGATGATAAATTACAGATCAAATACATTGTATTTAAAATAGATTACGAGATCTTTTGAGGAATTATACATTTATTTAATTTATATTAAATTAAATAAGTAGGCCTACTTTTTCTCTGCTGATTTGATATTGACAGATGAGAAAATATGACTGTAAAACCAAATGCAAGAGATGCAGATTGAGTAAATCTAATACATTTCAGTTCTGTTGACTCTTCCATGTCATTTGATTCAGAAAGCTTTTATTAGAGATAACAGAGCTTGTTTAATATCCTGCTCATTGACACAGAGACATAAACACTGATTCCATTCATGTTTGCATTTATGTACACTGCAATCAGAAATACTCAAAGAAAGTAAAGTAAGAATTCCAATCAGTAGATATATATTATATCCCAAATGTTCCATGAGAGAGTTGTCAGCTGTTCATTTAAACTCAAAATGATGTCACATTATTTTATCAAAATTGCTTGTATGTATCAATAAATATTTTTATCTAATTACTGAGACTTATTATGTATATTTTAATTCTATACACATTATAATAACACCTTTAAGCTTCTGGGTTGAATATTTCAGATTAAAAGTGAATATACATTGATCTAAAGACCAAACACACACACAAAATTGCAATGAAAACTCAAATGCAAAACTTTGTGGGGGAAAAAAACAGTTATATCAAATATGTTTGTGCGCATATGCATTAAAACGAGAAACAAACATTTACACAACAATCTCGGATTAATCGATGGCGTGCGTCAGGGGCGGGGCTGTCTGTTTTCTTGACCAATGACGGTTGAGGGGAGTGTTCTAAGAAACCTGTCTGAAAACCAAATGATTAATAAATCTAGAACAAATACGACAGCTTTGGTGCTTAAAATAACTTGAAATGAACATTTACATTTACTTCAGAGATTCTTTGCACCCCAGAATTCTTAAAGTCCCTATGTGGTGAAAATCAAGTTTCTTATCATGTCTATGTGGTGTTTTTAATATGCTTTAAGACAAACCATGTGTACATTTATAAGTCAACACCATTGCTGAGTATTTTCTCGCGGTGTTTCTTACATCACAAACTACCTTGTAACCAACCAGTTCAATGTAAAATCGGCAAAGAGTGGATCTGCTGGTGCGAGTGAGTGGAGGCGGGGCTAATTTGCATATTCATAGAACTGCGTATAGCCTACTAAATGAGGCAAGGGTGTAGAGTTACATTTAATCTACTCTAAGGCATGACAAATTTTTTGAGAAAGATCAGTTTTAATGATAAAATTATTGACAACTGGGGGACTTTAAAGTATTAAAATTTGAGTGTTAAATTAAAAACGAAGAGTGTTAATGTTAATGTGCTATTTAAGGCCCTGTTTACACGAGAACGCTAGCGGGTGAAAACGTAAAAATATTTTATCGGATGTGCCTTTCTTTTACACGGCAAAGGCGTTTTTGAGGCTCAAAAACTGAAGAAAGTGAAACCACCCTCCAGAGTGGAAATCTTAAAAACGCTCCACCGTCGCGTTCCCGTGTAAACGGTAAAAGCGCAAAAGTCTGCTTTACAGTGAAAGTTGTACGCAGGCGCGTGGACTTGCGTTGTTGTAGTATGAACTCCTAGCCGCCTGAAGTGCATACTACATTGAATTTCACACACTTTTGCATCTCCATTTGCACGCGGATTTCCCACACAAAACGCTCGTCTAAACGCAGAATAAAAAAAGATGATGCAACGCCACTTGCGTTTTCTCTTCAGAATAGTTTCTGTGTAAACATAGCCTAAGTTATTGATTGAGTGATGATTGAACATTATTGAAGACACCTGATGATAACAAGCAGAACCACTGAAGAAGAAAACTCAAATTGTAGTCACCATTATGGAGATCAGTGTTTGGTTTAGTTGGGCAGTTGACCAATACATGTTTAACTTATGACAGACAGATGAACAATGAGAAAGGTAGATCTGATGATGTTGGTTGTGTTATGACATAATCATTATTTCACAATCCTATGACCTGAATCACTGAACTCAAGTAGTCCTAATCTCTGATTAGAATGTATAGCCTATTGGTCATTCATTTTAATTAATAAACATTAATAATACCCGAAAAACACTAGGGGGTAGT